AAAACCCACGTGGAGCCCCCCCCCCCCCCCCCAACTGAGTCTCTTTTCCATCAGCACTTGCCAGAGATCACAGGAAGCTTATTTGTTGTGGAAACAGAATATCCTAATAATTCCAAAACTGAATAAATATCACACTTCAACAAACAGTTTCATGATTTTTGTCTTTAGAACAGAATGAAAATATAGGTTTTCTGACAGCTGGGTTCACTTCAGCATCCTGGCATGCTTTCTGGCCGCCGGAGCCAAGGCTTTAACAAATTCATGGCAAATCACCACCCTGATCCAAATGATTTAACAATCTAAACAGAAGGAATGGAAAGAGTAGCAGGAAGAAATGCAGAATTTCAAGAAAAGCGAAATTCAGAATTTTAAAAGAAAAGCAAAGCAGAATTTCAAAGACCGCATCAAGATGTGGGGGCAAACCTAGGAATAAAGTCGAGGATATTTATGTCCAGTCCAGCCCTATCATCGTCATCATCATCCTCTTGCGCTTGCTCATCAGAGGACCAAAAATCCAGGTGATTTACCAAAGGTCCTTCAGCGAGTCACTGATGGAGGCAACAGCAGAACCCCCCTGAATTGTTCCCGAGTTTTTCCTGCATTTCTTTCCCAGCATTACTATTCTGAGCAAGTTACTGTGCAAGTAGCAAAGTTTCATCTCCTTTCTCGCCCTTCCACGGGGGTCGGAAGCACCTGACTTCAGCATCACTGCCTGTACTGACACAGCAGCGGCACTGGGAAACCAAGCAAACCCAGCAAAAATAGATGGGTGTACGCAAAAATTAGAGGGAAATTACTTTTTCTGAACCCCAGCAGACTATGTAAGAGTATATATACACAGTGAATTAAAATGCCAATTGGTGCTACGTGATTTTTTTCTCTTACACATCTCCTTACTATATACAAAAGTCTCTGTTGAGCTGAAATGATACTGGTATTTTTCTGGGTTTTGACATGCTGCTGCACTTCACAGTTATCTTACTAATAAAAAGACAAGTCAGAAAACAAATGACTGTAACTTTCACTCAGCTGAACCCCCCAAAATGGATCCATTTTAATTTTAAAACTCTTTGTGAAGGTGACTTTAAAGCTGTTTCAAATGATAAAACTACTTTTGAGAGCTTTTATTTTTAATTCTGTTTAGAAATGTGATTTTTAAAAAGCAGATAAGTTATTAGAGTACAATTTATGATGTGAGATGTATCTTCGTATGGGTACAGCTGTATGCATACGTTCTCCCACAGAATTAGGTACCGAGACTGAAGGATCAGACAAGTTGGAGAAGTATTTCCCACGGGAAAAGCCAAAGCCACTTAGCCAAGCGAAGTTTCCACTTCTCCGTGCAAGCGGTCTTCAGGTGAATGATTAACATGTCCTGTAAATACTGTTCACAGAGCCGAGAAAATGAGGAAAAAAAGTAAAACATATCAATTTGCATCACACTGCTTCAGTCAAGATTCAGAAAACACTGATTTAAAAAGATTACAAAGTCCAAAGAGCGATCCACACATCAGCATTTACATTTGAAAGCCAGATCCTTTCAATTCAATCGTGGCATCAAGCATCTTCCGAAAACCTTGTAAGTTAGTACGGCCCAAGCCTCAGCCTGAAATGTGTAAACATTTACAACAGCAATTCCTACGAGAAGGTTTGAAATCAGAAGTGTTAGAGTTCTGAGTTCAGGGGTGGATGGAGTAGGCATTTTCGCCCTTACCGGTCTCAGAAAGGCAATGCCTCTCAGTTCTTTTCCTTTTGCCCCTACTCATACTAGTTTACCTATCTTAAACCGGTCAGAACAGGGAAACAATAATAATTTTAATTAATCATTAACCTTTTTGTTGGAAAAAAAATTTGGTTTAGGAGCAGTTATCAAACTGCGAAGTGGATTTTTCACTGTATCAAGCAGAGAATACACTTGTGAACCAAAGATGTTAGCACAGAAGGGTTGCACCGAAAAAGCTGAATCCAGGGATGCCAAGTTCTGCGAGTGAACACATCTCTCCCCTGTTAATAAGTACTCCAGATTTTGAACGAAACCACTTTCTAAACACCTCTGCTTTGACAGAAGGGGAGATAAGTGACTCTCTGGCACCCAGAGATGATGACCACTGGTCCTGCCACTTGTTTTGGTTGCTCCTACACCCAAGATGAACTACCTGCTAGCGGGATGTCGGAGCACGGTCAGCTCCGACCTCGGCAGCTGCGTTCCAACACGCGGGTTGGACATCTGCAGCGTGAAAACAACCTTGTCAAAGGCAACGGGGTTGATTTGTGACTGGGGTAGGGCTTGGGTGGGATAGCGGCTGCGGAGGACGCATCATCCTTTGGGTTTTTATTTTCAAACTGTGACAGATTGACTTAATGCGGGTCAATGTGAGTATCAGCTTCAGCTTGTTAAAAGAGAAACTCCCCATTTTATCACGTTACCGAGCTGAGGTGCCTCCGTGTATACAAATACTTGTGGAGTAAAGCAGCTATGCCCTGATTTGTCTTCATATTCTGGCATTATATTACGAGGACTTTCTGTATGCCTTCAACAAAAGTTGCCTAGGAAATGATCAGCCGAGTTGTTTTGCTGTTTTACCTCGTTATGCAATTTCCAATTAGTTTGAGTTATGCAACGGCAATAAACATTAGTCTAGGCACGCTATAAACATTTGTAGTTCCTATTAGTAGTCAGTCCGCTGTAAACCATGCTGTTTGTACAAACTTGTTAGCTAAAATAAACAAGCTGCTCCAAGATCCTTGACTGTCCTTGCTAAGGGTCAGACAAGAGTTTTTAATTCAAGGTACCCAGCAAATCCAATCGAGTTACCCCACTCTATTTACACACAGTAGTCTTAATATTCAACAAATGTTTGTTCCAAACCGCAAATGTTTTGAGTTCCATTCCATTGCAGACAAGCTATAAAAGTACTAACGGTATTAGGTCAGGCCTGCACTTGAAAGATGTATAATGCTATTTACAAGCACACATACATAGTTTTACCTAAATAATTATACTGGTAGACCAGGGTTAACAGCTTCCTACCCATATGAAAAAAATAAAATAGAATACCAGACAGTAATATAACTTTATTCTGCTTCTCACACAGGAACAGCTACGTATTTAAAAATACAAGTGCTTCATTTAAATATCACTGTGTCTAAATTAGCTGGGGTTTGATGCTTTCACTATGCCGGAATAAAATGTTAAGAGGGAAGCGAGGGATCACCCGGAGGAAATACTGGTGTTTTCACCAGCTTCGAGTCATGCAACAAGCTTTTCCGTACGTGCACCCGGGCCCAAGGTAGGGTAAACCTTTGGAAGGTGAGGTTTCTGCAAGCTGGAGTCCTGACTTCATCAAGGAGGGACCCACCTCGCCCAACGGGTGCAACGTCAGCTTGTCCAGTCTTCTCGCTCCGTTTCTGACGTGGGAAGGTAGCCAGAAAACGATGCGTTGAAATAGGAAGAGACGTGGTGTGCTTTGCATTACACTGCGAAACCACACAAGACTACAACATCCCTAAAAAAAGATGCGCTAGCTCCCAAAGGCTTCTTCCCTCAAAAAGATCATATATTTCAAATCAAAAACTAACCAAGGCTTTAATCATCGACTTTCCCTCTCAACAAAATGGACTCGAGCAGACACACACGCCGTACTTCCCGACTGAGCGACCTCCGCTGACAGAAGCTCATGGACTTGAAAATATTTTAAATCGAGTAACCACTTACATTCCCAGCAATAGCAAGTATCTCCAGGAAGGCAGCTGCGTTTCAAAAGCGCCGGAATGCTGGAATCCAGCGCTCGCTCTGAAACCTGGGTGCTGCCCAAATTTCGTTGTTATTAAGTCTCACCATAGGACAAATATTTTCCTATTTAACAGCAAAATTGCTATTTACAATTACTATTTACCAATTACTATTTAATAGCTAAGGACTGGGATATCTTTACACTGATTTAAAAACCGTCAGCCACCCACCAAGTTTACAAACAGTGTTCTGGGTGGTTCCTGCTTCTCCGAGCTGTTCTTTTGCCTTAGCTGATGGAAGGTTATGAGAAGATGAAAGGAAAAAACTCCAAAGTTTTTAAAAACATAAATACTGTTATCTATTTCTCACATACCTATCATTGCTCTACATGGAAGAAGGAACAGTTTTGTTTATTTACTGTTCCAGTTTTAATTAAGCAAAGGCTTTAGACCTACAGCTTGCACAAGATGAAGATAAACAACTTCTTTGGAAGTCATGGAAATTAAAACCAGCAAGAATACATTACATAGCTGTTCTCTGTTCCCAAAAAGAAAAGGCCCTAGAAGAAACCAAGTGGTCGTTCATATCCCACAAACATCTCGGTTGCTTTAAGTCTTTTAAAGTCATTTATAAAAGTGTTGGGGTAAAAAGCAAACACAGAAATCCTGCGAAGCTGATCAAATGGAGCCCCTTCGATATTTTGGTTTATGATTGTTAAGATCAATTTTGAATGGAGTTTCTTGAAAGTAGAGTTGCTTTATTTTCCACG